TCTTTATGTTTTACTTTCTCCCCTTCTTTTTCAGTTCCTTGTAGACAGAGCTGTAGCTAGATTCTTTTGCGTCCAAGACAAGAACAGAAAATTGTACCCTTTCCTCATGATATTAATCAAGACAAAGACAATGGTACAGCATGATTCCAATCATTATATATTAATCCAGACACTAAGGGGGGTATAGCATTACTCCTGCGTGTGGGATTGAGCTGTGGGGGTAGGAGCAGTTGTCAGTAAGTGGATAGTATGTGAAGTGTTTGTGTGTGTGGGGGATTGGGCTTGTAGCATGAGTGTGGTAAAATAGAGGCTATAGGGTGTGTGTGTGGGGCAGCATAGTGGCTGTAGTGTTTTGTATGGCTTTATGAGCAATAATGAATGGGCGTATGGGTGATCGGGGCAAGGTTGTGTATGATGGCTGCAATGAGGAGAGAAAGAGGCTGTAGTGTAGAGGGGGATAGGGGCTGTAGTATAAGGGGGCCAAGGACTGTAGTGAAGGGGCTAGAGGCAGTAGTGTAGAAGGAGTTAGGGACTGTAATGTGGGAGGATGGGGCTATAGTGTAAGGGTGTTGAGTACCGTAGTATTGGGTGTAGTGTAAGATGGGTAGAGGCTGAACCAATCCAGGGAGCAATAAACGCTCCCACGGGCATCACTCTGTAGTAATGCTGATGCCAGGATGATGTCATATCCTGGCTTCCATTTCACTACACGGAGATATTTAGGGAGCGCACAACAAAGCAAAAGAAAAACTGACAGCAGCTGCAGCCAGGATGGCATTTCAATTTGGGGGGAGCTGAGTGAGCAGTGTGGCCACTTGCCCTGTGCGCCCTGTGCACACCATAAAGGCAGCTCCTGGCTATGACTTCTCGCAGCTGTTATTCAGGAGAGTGCATTACTCGCCTCACCCGTCCTACAACTCTGCTTATAGATCATATTCGCCAGTTTCACTACTATGCAACTTACTATTCAGTCTCTTAATGTAAGGGTTCTTAATATTTTAGAACATAGGTTGCTTAGAGAATTATGCTCAAATAGAATATCTGTCTTAAAAGAAACTAATTTTAATGCTGGTGCTGCAGCTGTTCTTCAAAATAATCACTGCTCTCAGACATAAACCAGAAGCTTTAAAAGTGGGGCTAATTATCCTTATTGCGCATACAGTTCTCTTTGGTCATGCAGAGACTCTAGCAAATCCAATAGGCAACTTTCTATTTACTAAAGGGATTATTGCTTCCCATATGTACAACTTTGGGGTTTCTTTATGCTCCTAGTTGAAGACTACAGATGTTTTCCTGTATTGAGAAATTTAGACAAGTCACCTTAAATGTTGGTGGATAACTTAATGTTTCTTTGTACCCAAGATTAGACTCTTCTAGAGGAGAACTCAATTCCCTCCCATACCCTGCGTACAATGATTAAGGCTCTTAGGAGTGATTGCCTGGTTGATTGCTGGGGGGTGGCTAACCAGACAATCATGACTATACTTTCTATTCCAGAATAAGGTACAGTGCATTCATAAAAATACATTTCTAAATTTTATATGGCTACTAAAAATCAAACAACTCTTACTATCTCACCAAACAAATATTGGGACTTATTTCCACCATATGGCCATATTGTATTAAGCCCACCACTACTTCACAGTCCCCCAATATCGGTGGGTCCCACACTAATTTTAATGAAGGGAGACAAATTGATTATTACTATTGTTAAAAAAAGCTAAAGTGTAATTAATTAATCTGTTGTCAGAGCATTGTGAATATATACAATGCAAAATGAATGTGATAAATGCTATTAGAAAAATGCAGTGTCAAAACTAAACAATTAGCGTGATAGTGCTTTTTTGTGTATACATACATTAGTAGTGGTGGGCTTAACACAATATGGCCATATGGTGTAACTGAATTCCCATATGTGTTTGCTAAGATAGGTTACTTTAAGTAGACTTGTACAATGTAAACTATGTTTTTTTGTGTGTGCCCGTTATTCCCTAATCCGGAATCTTTCCAGGAGTGCCCCCCAATTCCCTTTTATTCTGTGCAAAATTGACATTAGCCAGCCCAGAACTCTTGTTTTTGACTGAATGATGACACTCCAGTGAAACTGCTGGCGGTGGTGTTACACCTCCAACAGTTGACGGATTAATCTCCGTATTCCGTATCAGTTACTTGAAGTAACCCTTTCAATTTCACTGCTTGGAGTAATATTACGATAAATCTAGACATGATTGGACATTTCTTGTATTGACTGGATGTTCCTTTGTAGCTTATCTCCTTTTCCTTTATTCCATTTCTTATTGTCATAAAGCTCAAACTGTTGTATTTTTCATATATCCCAAACCTGACCATGGACATTCATGCGATTTAGTCATGTTGTTTCCTTTGATTATCATGAAATCCCTGCCAACGTTGCAATTAACAAGGAACAGGAGGAAAGACATCACCAGGAGCTCCGATTCTTTTTATTTCTTGGATATTGGATAACAAGGAAGAAAACAAACAAAAAAAGGAATGTTGTGCAAGGTTATTGCACTAGCGATTAGACACAGACTGATATTATGTTGATAAAGTTTGAAACTAGTGTAATTACTATCCTTAATATTCAAACAGAGGTTGAACTTTACACCGGAATCAGATTAAAATAAAAGACACCTAGCTTTCAGAAGTGTTAAAGATAAACTATAAAAATTAAGAAAGGATAACCGTCAGTGAAGTTATATCAATAAGGAAATAAGCAACAATCATTGTGATAAATAATTTAGATTAGTTTTATAGGATATTTATTAATGTTTTAAAAACTGGGAGACTGGTCCTTAATCACGTTTATTCAGAACTGGCTGGTATTTTCTTTGTATAATGATTTGTAACAACGTAATAGGAAAAAAAACATGTGCAATTCTGCTGCAATAGAAGTGGATCAATGAGCAGGATTGTTCTACTGGTGTAAAGAGTTGTGTCTGGAACAACATGTATGCTGGGTTTTATATTAACTTTAATGGAAAAATAACATTAGAAAATTTCGAAGGGCTATAAAATTCGCATATCAGCAGATATAAGTAGAATTTTTTGAGAAGTAAAATGAGATGATCATTTACATTTATTTGCATTTATACACCTAGGTTATTTTTTTTGTTTTTAATAAAAGCCTCTCTTTCCGTTAAAGCATCAAATTTCTAGAATGTCTATGGTTGCCAAGAATATTGGATGCCCTGTTGAAGCAACACTGTCACCCTCCACCATTGCAAAATAAATATTTCATAAAGATAAATTTTTTATGAAACACTCATACTGACTGTTTTGAAATTTGACTGACATTCCAACCCAGTCAAAAGATATTCTGAGACAAAGTAGAGACTGTGTTGCCTCTGTATATTTCCTACGCTTGACACTGGGCAGAACCACCACCATCTTGAAGTGGCCATCTCCCAGCCCTCACCAGTGAAGGCTGCAGAGATATTAGCTGTATCTATGGAGGAACTCATGGGAACCTCCAATAACCTCAGTACTTGCACAAGAGTACAGCTGTGATGTCAGCTCCTGACACTAAAATGTCCGGAGAAGAAAAGGACAGTCCAAAAAAAGAGAGAAAAGTAAATCTTACCTTTACCTGCTTCCCGGCCACAGGATCATCAGTGGCGATGTCACCATCAGGGCTTTTTTCGAAATATGCAGGGTCCGAAATTAAGCTTTTACCTTGATTTGTGAACAATACTCTTTTTTTGTGTGATTTTTAATATTAAATTATTTGTGTGGGTTGCTCAAGTTCAGTACACCTAGAGAAGCTATATACACTGTTTTCCAGGAAACATACAGAACTTGCAGCCCTGTAGTGTTGAAAAGTCAAATATTGCAAGTAGTTAATCGGGTAATAAGTCAATTATGAATCCTTCGGTGTTTATAATTCTGCATACTGAAGGGCAGCATTTTCATGTAGTGCCAACGAACATGATGAAATAATGTGTACTGGGTATACGATTGGCAACACTGACTCTGCCTGACAGAGCATCATCCAACAATTACTGCATCTCATCATATTACATCCATACTATTGGATCCTCCCTGAAGACTACAAATCACTTGTTTGTGAGTTTTTATTCCTTTTTCCATGAATGGGAAGTGGTTAGTGATTATATTTGCTTGTTTTACACATTCTACAAAGCCTTGAGCAGCAACTGTAGCAGAATATAATGGGGATTTTTGACAAATGAGAAACTTTTAAATTTAAGTCTCAGATATTTGAAAATATCAAATAAAGATATTCCAGAATGTATGCCAATCTATCATGGTTTTCATGTGAATTCTGTTGTAAAATATAATTTACTAAAGTCAGTAATATTAAAAAGAAAATGTCAATGGATTGACTGAATTATGAGATTTAACAATCATTAGACAAAGGATTTTTTTTTTTTAATTCTTTATTTTTGTGTGCAAGATTTCACAAATGAGCCGTGGTGCCACAATAGCAGTCACGTACACAATTACAACAGATATTTCACATATGGCACATTAATGTCTGCACAATTTTTATAATGGTAATAGTAGAGTATTAAGCTTAGGCAAGTGGTGCTCCCGTTATAATCATCGCCAGTATTGACAGATTTGACAGTGGGAGCATGAACACAGATATATTTTAAGTTACATTTGGTTTCACTGAGATTTGCCTGGTTAATAGTTACACGTGTACAGGTTCTAAGCAAATGGTTGTACGGTTTCTAGCGTATCGCTTGGGCAAAGTTGTTTAACTCTAGCTTGGTCTACCTCGGGCGCCATCATGGATTGTGTGGTGTTAGTCTGCCTTCACTTTTCTGGACAGGTCTGGGGTCTTCTTGGTTAGTATCAGATGAGTTTGTCAGGGCTTGTGTGTACTGTAGTTGCCTCCGGTAGTGTGTGTCTGTCTTGAGTAGTGTCTTGGGTTGTGCGTATGTGTGTCTCTGCCTATTTTGTGCTGGTTTGTTGCTGTGTTAGTCCTGGTGTCTGTGCGTCTGTTGGTACCGTTTTGTTTAAGTATGTGTAACACTGGAGCAGCGTCTAAGTGTCCAACATAGAGTCCAGAAAAAGCATCTAGCCTTTGAATTGGGCATATAGTGTCTCTGGGGACCCGGTAGAAAAGACCCGGCAGGTTTCTCTCGTAGCCGTGGACACTCCTGGGGGTCTGCTTCTGCGGCTCGTGGGTTGAGTGCTTTCTTTGAAGGCCGCATAGGGGCTGGCATGGAACCCAGTATGGCGCTTCCTCCTGTGCTTTCGGGTCCGCCGCGACTGGAGGAGACGGTCGAGGTTGAAGCTTCTGGGCGGCCGCAGTCTGTGAGTGCTTGTGCGATAAGGTTGCATGGTGTGCCACTGGCTTCCGGGGAGAATTTCCTCGATTCCCGCTCTTTGTCTACCGACATACAGCTGCTTGTCGGTGTTTCTCGTAGCTTAGGGTAGGTTGTTGGTTTGCGGGCTGCCAGCCAGTACTTCCACTTCATGGTCCCTGCAGGACTCGGTGGGACATTCTTCGTTTGCCCATGAGGTTGCACGCTGTCCGCCATTTTGGAGCGCTCCGTCCAGCTTGTGCTCTGCGGCCCTGTTTGCGCTTGGGCTCGGCAGACGACATTGGTGGTGGCCCGTGGGGACCGGGATAACCCCCACCGGTCCAAAGGGGGGGGGGATCGCAGGACGCCGTTCGGAGACCCGGGGGGGCGGCCGTCCCTCCCCGGCTCAAGCTCTCGTAGGCCCCAGGCCTTGGTCGGGTTACTCCGGTGCTGTACCATATTGTGTGTGGTACCATCTTGTGTGTCCCCATCTTGTGGACAGTTTGGGGTCCAATTGGGGTTGGTAGCGGCTTGTGGCACTGAGTTGGCTCCGATTCTCTGGCCCAGATCCTGGAGCTCAGACGAGACACGTCTGATCTGTTCAGCAGTCAGGCTCCGCCCCCTAGACAAAGGATTTTTAATTAACCCTAAAATAACAAAATATTAATAAAAATAAATACATTTTAAAATATGATTTTAAATTGTAACTGAAAATATGCTCCTTCTAAATCTTATGATACTTTTAAAGCATCAGTAACCATTCTGAAATGTTTCCTTGAAAACACACTGTAGTTATAGAAGAATTAGACAATCCTATAGGAAGCTCAGAAAATTATATTTTCATAAATGTTGATAATGTTTACATTTTATTACTATATCTAAATATTGGGTAGCAACTCAATAACAAAAATTAAACAGTCTTTGGGTAAATTATTAAATAAAAGAAACAATGTTGACATCCTTAACAATAAAAAAAAAGAAATATTTAAACAAGCAATAAATGTTTGAATAACTGCATTCCAATTTTTATATAGACGGTGGGCTAAAATTCTGAGTAGGATTTAACAGGTAAATAATTGATTTTGTGAGTTTTGTTGCAGGTTTATGTGATAACTTAGTATTGGGAGATTCATCATGGGTCATTTCACGAAGGAACAAGAAAAATAGTGGAATCTACTTTTCGAAATGTAATGTTCATTATTTTGAGCATACTGCCACCACTTGTGGTTTCGACAGGATGAGGCTACTACCCATACAGCTAAAGCTACAACGGACCACCTTAGACATCTGTTCAATGAGCTACCAGAAAGAGAGATAAAGGTTGTGCCAAAAGAAAATGTAAAAAAACACTGAGATGTACACACAAGTCCAATACAGTGGCCAAGGTTTGTAGCCACAAGTGAACAACAAAGAAGTAAGTCCTAATGGGAAACCTTTCCACAGGGTTATTCCACAGTCTTTAGGGAAATGTCCTATGTAGGAGCCAGGTTATGGGTATTTCTTGGAATCCGTGGGAAGAAGAAGAAAAGATAATAGTACAATAAATCCTATCCAAAATTGTGTATTTAAAATGTCAGGTCTAATGTAGTCCTACTCACGTGTAGTAGAGATAAAAAACAGCTCTAGTATGAATGGCATACAGCGGTACAATCCCCACTTAAAGGATACATGAAGAGTTGTTGACCATAAAAGGGTTAAAAAGACACAACAAATAATGCTCACTGTTTAGGCACCCTGTGCGAAAAATCACACACATACTGTCACATACACACACAGCCACACACACACAGTTACAGTCACACAGAGGCAGAAAATCACACACACACACAGTTACAGTCACAGATAGACACACAGACACACAGACACACAGATTCAGACAAACACACAGAGACAGACAGACACACACACACACACTTACCGCTATCCATTATGGGCTGAAAGGGAGTCTGGATTTTGGGGAAGCAGGGACTCCTTCCGAAGGCGACACCTGCGGTTCTGCAGAATCCTGTTAACATGTCACTGGACCACAAGTGAACTTCAGAGTCCTTCAGAGACCCACGTAAGGAGGCAAACCATTGCAGTTTTGAGTTTTGAGTTTTTGATTGTGGTCCTTGACAGAAATACTCCCACACTGAGCTGTATAATTAACTCCACATTAGGTGTATTAAAGTTGCACTGTCACAAACAATATAGTTGCAGGTTATATTTCCCTCTCAATATTACTGGGATATCAATAAAAGGCTGTCTACATCAGGCTTTCCAGGACCTCACCCAGAGCTAAACATTACACTCCTTAGATAGTTAACCGAATGCAAAAAAACAAAATCCTGCCGCTGTTTGACTACAACTTACGCCAGCCCCATCCAGGTGTATAGAGAAAAATAGAATTTATTACCTGCTAACATACTATATTAAAAAGTATATATATATATATATATATATTATTCTTAAGTACATTTAAACACTAAACCTATCTATAAGTATGGTGTGTTTAGTTTTCAATAAATAACTATGGACCTGTACAACTTCTTCTAGATTGATTCCACCAACCAAGGGAACGTGCATGTACTGAGGGTGACATCCTAACATGGGCCCAAAATTCAAATACAGGTTGATCTGGTAATTTATTCGACACCACATCGTTAAATATTTATTTCACCTTTATCTTCTCATGGCAGCTGCCCACTGCTGGTTGAAGTGACGGGCCATTGAGTGGTAATGGTCACCTGTAGGAATAATAATAAATAGTGATATGTTAAAATGGCACATAGGGACAAGATAATTTCATGTTTAGGGCTAAATAGTCAGATTTCTGGTGACTTATTTTATTCGAGATCTGTCTGAGTTCTCAAACTCAGCTGTATATATGCTTCATAATTATATTGGCCTAACATTTCTAATACCCTTTTCAATTCTCTGCAGTTTCCAGTTTAGTGAATAAACCATCTAATTTCAATGGTAATTAAATCCACAACTCATATTAGTCTTGTATTACATCTGTAACCTCCAACACACTGGCTAGAACTACAAAGGGATCTTTCTAACCCGCAAATATTCTATACTCCTGTCATAGCTCCTGTCTAAATCTAGAAATGTTATTCCTATCATTAAAGTCCCAGATAATGGGAGCCAACCTTTATGCTTATCACTTCCTTTTAGTCACTTACCTTACAGGTAGCTCACTCAAACTCACAGATGAACTCTACCACTTGCATCTTATATCTCTCACTCAGACTAGCTCATAACACAAAGTCTAGCAGACCTTTTTCCTCTAGATACTCTAGGTTTACTCCTGGCCACACTACATAATATATATTAGAAGGAATACAAAGTTGTCCGTATTCCAGAAGGTCTGGAGTCTGGCCCAACATTCTATAAACAGCGCAGCCTATAATTGGTTTAAGACTGAACCCCTCTGCCGTCTATAAAATACAGACACGTTGAGCCATCTGTGCATTCCAGGATTGGGTAAGCTATTGATTTGCATTTGCTGTTTGATTAAAACTTTCACCTTCCTTGAGATTGATAAAACCAAATAAAAACACTGGAGGATATGGATAAAGGACAACTGCGGAGCAAAGGTCTCTTTCACTAGAACAATTGGAATGTTCATGCAGATTGCTTTAGCACTTTGCCAATATATTGCTCATAGATGACCCTCTAATGACACAAATGTTTTTCTCTGGTGATTAAATAGCCAGGCCCAGGTGTGGGTTCTAAATATAATAACAGGGGGCACAGTGTCCCCCATCCCACACTCATTGGTGGTATGAGAGGGGCCTAAAAAACAAGAGAGTGGACTTATTGTCTCTCCCAGACCCCATCTATTAGCAGGCAGAGGCTCTAAGTAATAAAGTGGGGGTGGACCTATTGTACCCAAATAATAAGGGGGGTGTATTTATTGTCTCCCCAATAAAAATGAACCCCGAGGTGACTACAGGTCCCCAAGCCTAATAATAGTGATGGGGCCAATAAACTAAATGCATATAAAATAAAAAATAAACATTAGCTGTCTTCTTTCTTTTTCCATCTTCTTTTCTTAAGCTCCAAAAACTGTATTATTAGGATGAGGGTGGTGGGAGGTGTGACTAGGGTCTTGGGGACACCTAGTCATTGGGCGGGGAGGATATTTGTGGCACGGAGGGTAGGAGCAGGATGAAAATGTGTTCATTCGAAAATGAATGCCCAAGTCTAGTGGCTTTTGTATCCCTTAAACCTACCTTATACTAATATGGGAGTCATATTGACCCCCATAGGCTAATGATAAGGGGGGCAGAGTGTGAATTAGAAAGTGGCAGGGAGCAACCGCTGCTTCTATTTTAAATGTGCAAGGTGGGAGCCGCAAGCTGGTAGCTCTTGACCGGTGTATCGTCGCCATATGGGCATCTGGAACCTTGGACAAACCCCCCACATACCTACCACAATAATACACGGACTCTAGGGTATATGGGTAAAATTGTCCACAGCTTTATTAAATATATAAATATTAATAACTAAACATAGAAACTTTTGTGTCATTGCCCTATGCCACGCCCTTACTTCCGTATACGTCCATTAGGTATAAAAGGCAATGACCCCACTATAAATTACATATATATAACATTATACTAACATAACATCACTCAAAGTGCCAACCATTTATTATAACTCAACCATGGCAGGGATATACCTGGATACCCCTACCCCACCAGGTTCTAAGCCACCGACAAGACTCGAAACCTACCAAACATACCAATAACCATTAACATAACCTTCCTACTGGGGAGCCTATTTCCTCATCTAGAGCTCCCTATCCTGCTGCTGTGACAAAACGGGAACCCCACTATGGCCAAAACCCAGGGAGGGAGGGTGGGACAAACTCAGCCAGGTAGGCAAGTTATAAGTGATCTTTCCAAGATGTCTGCCTACTTATATAGCACAGCCCCTTAACCCCACATAACCAATCCTATTAGCTTCCTCCAATGCTCGCCTCCTAACCCCTGTCAAGGCCCCTTTCCACTTAACTGCACATTTGTTACATGGGGCTACATTCCTTGTAATAAACTAAAACAAACAAACATAGTAACAAATTGCATGGCCGAAATTTTGTCCAACAAAAAATATGTACATTGTTTCATTCCTCTTTTGGACGAATGAACGATTTGCTGAAAATCTGGATGAAAATGTGTTCATTCGAAAATGAATGCCCAAGTCTAGTGGCTTTTGTATCCCAATAACAACATTAGGTGGGCCTATAT